TTGTTTACTCACCTTTAAAGTTAAAACTAAGAGGTCTCTGGGTCACTTGTTCCGCCCTGTGGGTCAAGGTCATTGATGACCAGTTTGATTTCTCCTTAATCCATTGGCCCTTTGTGTAGGAAGCTGCTTCTCCAACTGAACCACGATTTCCAAATTCTCTAGAACGGAGTCCCGGCCAAAAGTTGGTGGGTCCCGATCCAAGAACGCCCCCTTCTCCTCTGTGGAGCTCATGGACACGTCCTCATTGGTCTCCTGCAAAGAGAAACGAGAAAGGCTCAGATGCCGACAGTAATCTGAATATAATCTGGAAACGACGTAGAAAAGGGATGAGAATATGGAATTATTTGTTGAGGATATAAAATAATGGAGATAGAATCCTGATTCGAGAAGATCTTGATGAGCCAAAATGGAAGAAACCAGCAAGATGAAGTCCAACAGGGACCAATGCAGAGTTGTGAGTAGGGAAACTTAATGTAATATGAGAGAGATCAGATGGGGCAGAGTATGAGTGTGGAAAGGGCTGCTCTTTCCTGCTCTTGTTGGAGGCTGCAAGGCCATAAAGATTCCAGGTAGGCATTTCGAAAATATTTACAATTAAGAAAAGCAGCCTTTTGGCCATCGGCTTATTTTATTACCTGCTCACAAGACCAGCCTCAAAAAGACATAGACTGGACACACCATTTAAAGCAATGGAATTTTTTGACAATCATAGAGCATTCTTGGAAAAAGGCGATCCTGAACCCAAGAAATGGCAGCTGAAGGAGTGGCTAAACCAGGGGTGTCAAACTTAATTTCATTGAGGGCCGCATCAGCATTGTGGTTGCCCTGGGGGGAATGGACAGGGTGGGTGTGGCCTACTAGGTGGGCATGGACAGAGTGGGTGTGGCCTACTGGGTGGGGGTGGCCAGCTCTACATCGTTCGCGTCAAGGGTGCCTGTGGGGGCCTGGGCAGGAGTGGGACAGATCTGAGGGTTTCTGGCAGAAGGGGGTGGGACCAGGGCAAGTGCCAAGGCATGGTCCACTGGAGGAGCCTCGCTGTTCCTCTCAGGCCATGCGTGGGGGGCTGGATGGTGGTGCGGGCTGCCCGGAGCCCTGGGCAGCAGAGGTCAAACGCCCAGCCTGGCCCTCGAACACCTGTGGCACCAAGCCGTTTCCAGACGGCGTTGTGGAGCTAAGACTGAATACGTTTCAGCATAGATGGCCACCATAAAATTGTACATTGGCTCCCGGCTGGCCTGGGCCAGGGCCAAGGCAGCGGGGGCCGTTCCCTCACTGTTTCCAGGATAGCTTTGCAGGCCACATGAAACCACTTCGCGGGCCGCATCCGGCCCCCGGGCCTTGTGTTTGACATGTCTGGGCTAAACAAACAGAGGAGGAAGAAGTTAAAAACACATATTCAGAAGAAGGAGCAAGACCGAGAGACCAGAGACAGATACGATCGACTAGAAGACTGAGACCTAGATATAACTGAAAGATATGGAGGAGATTGGAATTTGATCAATAAATATAAATGGACTGAACTCTCCTTCAAAAAGGAGAATTTTTTTTTTACAAGACCACAAAAATTAAAAATTAATATGTGTCTCCAAGAGACACATATTAAGAGACAACATTTTAAATTTTTAGAACAACCGAAAATGGGCAAACTTTATTTTACACTCGCCTCTCAAAAGAAAAGAGGAATAGCCCTTTATATTAAAGAAAAGATGAATCCCAAACAAATTTATGCAGATGAAGAAGGGAGAATACTAATGGTGGAAATCATGGTGGATCAAAAACAGATATCGATGGTAGCAATATACGCACCTAATGATAAGCCTAAGACTGAAAATCAGGCATGTAAGAAGGCTATATTTTTTCTATCCTGCTCTATGGAGTAGAGAGTTGGTCTCTGACAGAAGGCCACCTGAAGAGACTAGAAGCATTTGAAATGTGGATTTACGGGCGGCTGTTAGGTATAAGCTGGGTTGACAAGATCAGAAATGAGGAGGTGATAAGCCGCCTGGGAAAGCCAAGGGAAATCATCAAAACAATTAAAAAACGAAAATTAGAATATTTCGGACATGTGATGCGACACCCAGAAAAATACGGCATACTCCATTTAATCCTCCAGGGAAAGATGGAAGGCAAACGAGGTCCAGGCAGAAGAAGAAC